GCAGCAACTTCCAACATTGGTATTGTATGAGGTGTGAATCGACAGTCCCCACCAAAAAGGGGTTAAAAAATTTTGGAAAACAGAATTACACGTGCTAACACATATTATGAGTTTTGAGGGAAGGCTATATATAGTAGGTTTTTGTAAATGTACTTGACCTGCAAAATATCTTTTCAAGGAACCCATGTTTAAGACATTATTCCTCTGATGCTATTTGGGAAATGCTGGCTTGGAGTAGCTTCAGCCCCCTCAGTCCTGCCAAATGCTGAGGACTAGATGGAAGTCATTCAAACATGCATCTTCATTAGGTAGTAAATGGATATCTTTGTGATATCTCTTCTCTCTGCCTTTTGAATGATAAATAAGTTGAGTCTGCACCCAACACTCAGTTATTTACTTTTCTACAAGTGTATGTTCTGTATAATTTACCACCTAGAGTCCCGATGACTCCCCAGTCTGTATTCCTAGCCCAGACCTCTTCCCTGAGCAACAGACCGCACACATCCTGCTGTCTGCTGAACAATCACCTACCGAAGCTCTTTAACAAAACGTCCAACAAGCACATCAAGTGCAGTTTGTCCCACATAGAAGTGATTACTGCCCTCATAAAGTTCATATCTCCATCTGAATTTCCTAATGGCCCTATTACTGCCATCCAACCAGAAGCCTGGAAGATCTTCTGAATACCATCCTCCCAGCCAAATTGGCATTAAGTCCTCTTGGTTCTTTCTCCCTTCCAAGAAGCTCTACAATTTGCTCCCTACATTCCATCCTCAACTGCTGTTGTCTAGTTTGGGGTCTCACCACAATGGTTTGCTAATGGCTTCTGTCTTAGGTTAGGTTTTCTGGGGAAAAGACTCTGGGTTTCTGCAACCTGCATGCAGGAAGGTTATCAGAGAAAGCTATGGGGAGTAACACCTGTAGCAGGTAAGGATGGAGGAGGTAAGACCAAGCAGAGGGAGAAGTTAAACTTTGATGGAGTTGCAGCAATAGCCTCAATCGGTCCTACGGGTGCTCTGGAATTGGATGACCCTTCAGAGCTGTCCCAACTTGATGCAAGGGACTGGAGTTGGGAGACCTTAAACCAACACATTCCTACTCTTTTCAACCCCTACCATCCATAGCAACCCCTCCTCCCCCCACCCCACCTCACCCCAGGGTGGCATGACCTTTGTCCAAGGGCAGATCTCAGAATGGACCTCAGCTGAGAACCACCAGCCACCAACTCTTCCAGCAGCTGGAAGAATGGATGCCCTAGTCCTGAGGGAGATCAGAGTAGCATACCACAGCCTCCTTGTCCCTAATCTTGCTGCTTTCCAATACATCTCCCATGACACCACCAGAGTTTTCTAACACCAGATTTAATCACACTACACCCTTACTAGTAACCTTTCAATAGTTCCTCATTATCTACAAGATAATTCAATTCTGATCTCTGTCTACCCATGAAGGCTTGTCTCCCACAACTTTCCTCCTGCGCCCACTCTTGCCCCAGTAATCCCCACCTACCGACACTTACCAATCCTTCATGCATGTTGCTCCCCCTGCTGAGTATGAGTTTGTCCCACTTCACTCACTAGCAAACTCTTATTCATCCTTCATAGCCCAGAGTAAGCACCTCCTCCTCTGTGAAACCTTCCTTAATATCCTCAAGCAGAGGTACTATCCTATATACTCTTTTTGTACTCTTGCAGTTATTTGTTTATATGATCACAAGAACGACCTCTTTAAGAGCAAAGTCTGTGTTGTATTAATTTTTGAATGTGAATGAATGGATCAGCCATGTGCATCGGTGTTGTATAAAGCTGTGTCTACATGGACTGACTCAAACTAACTAGAGTTTTTGGTCTAATCAGCTGTTTTATTTCAAGGACTTAACCAAGTTGTCCAATGAGAGCTGTAGGTCCCTGTGGACAGGGATTCTACTTGGGGAAATTCAGCTGGTTTGGTATACACAGCTCAGTGCTCTGTGGCTTAATAAATACTTCCTGTTATGTTGATGCTTCTCCCTTATATTGGAAAAATGATGTAGCCAGTGGTCTATAGTAGCGGTCCCCGACCTTTTGACACCAGGGACTGGTTTCATGGAAGACAGTTTTTCCACTGACCCGGGGATTGTGGGGCAGGAATGGTTTCGGATAATTCAAGTGCATTACATTCAAGCTCACTCCCTGCTCTGCGGTTCAGTTCCTTATAGGCCTGGACTGGTACTGGTCTGCGGCCTGAAGGTTGGGGACCCCTAACCTATGGGATGTGTTCTGAAAGGTGCCATGTGGTCTGACTTGCCCCCAGATCTATTTTTTATGTCTGAGGTCTCCCCTCATGTTCATTCTGAAACCCTTACCCTGTATTTTCTGTGACTGGATCAGTGGTTCCTTCAGTGGGGTGAAAGTACTCTAAGTCCTGGGCTAGCTGATGCACCTAGAGAAGAGAATTTCTATTTCTCTTTATTTCACCCCTTTAAAATTTTCTATATTTTGTATATGCTTTATCATGTGTATAATATAATAGCACAGTAACACAAGTATATAATTTATAAATATAATTAAGTATATAATTTATAACACAAGTATATAATTTATACTTGAGTATACACTCAAGTATACTTGATATTTTTAGAACAATCACAGAGGCTGCATCCTGCCAGAGCTGGTGAACCACCTCCTAAGGAATTGAGAACCTGGATACGAAGAGCCAGGAGGTGGAGCAGAAGGCAGCAATGGGCCAGGGAGCCAACAGGAGGTCTGAAGGGATATGAAAGGGCAACAGTCCCTACCTGCACAGGAAGATGCCCTGCCTGCCTTTCACTGTGGTTGGAACTCATGTTAGAGTATAGCCACCAGATACAAAGATAGTGGTGGCTGCTCCAGAATGCGTAGGTAGGGGGCTGAGGGGCACCTATCTGATTGGAGTCAGGGCACAGGCACTTGGTCTTAAAGTTGTATTAGCATAATCAGAGCACTGTCTTCACTCCAGTTGTGCGGTTATTTGGGGATGACTGTAAGATTGATTGATGGTGGAAATGAGGAGTGGGAGGGAGGGTGTTGTTAGCATTGCAGCCTGTAGTGCCCTTTTGGCAGACGGGCACCCAGTGAGCCACATTATACTAGAAAGAGGAGTGTGGTATCAGAGATGAAGAGGGACCCTACTCCCAGCACCAAACCCTGGGGCCAAAGGACACATGGAGATGATGCTCCAGAATAGCCTAGCAGCCAGGAAGCAAGACATGACCAAGACATAGGACCAAGAGGCATGATCAGGGAGGGGACCTACAACAGAACCACTGTGTTCTATTGTTCTGGGTTCTATTCCTGCTACCAGTAACTGTGAGTCCCAATGCCAGAGTCTTATGAAAAGTAAAGGAACTATTTATTCAAAAGTTACACAGGTTTAGAATGATGGTGAAATTCTACCATTAAATCTCATACCCTTTAGAAACCAAAAAAACACCTACAAACACACAGCCCTGTCTACCCTTGCCAAACCAGGCCAGTCAGAGGTACCATCTCTCAGGAAAAGAAATAGGAGTCTGTAGCTTACTTAGCTGGGCAGATTCCTGTCTGTATTCCAGCTTCTTCCAGTTGTCCGTGCTGGGTTCCTGCTCTTAATCCAAAACCACATCCTCATGGTGGGCCGGTGGGGGTCCTTCTGTATCCTTTCAAACTGTGTGGCCGAAACCCCTCACACCTCCTACATCCAGCTTTTCTGCTCCTTTCAGAGCTGTATGGCTAAGCCGTCCCATGGCTGCCACAACTGGGTTTAAATCCTGGTTGGATCTTCCTCTGTAACCCCATTTCTGACTCCTCCCACAGTCGGCTACACCTGCCAGCACTCCCGCATTTTCTGCCTTTCTTGGCCTACCATTGTTAGTCCAGGCAGGCATGGTGGAACCACCTCCAAGCCTCTTTTGCAGGCCAGCAACTGGGGAACCACCTCTCAGCTGCATCCCAGGTTAGAGTCACGCCCATCAGCCTGGCCTCCAGTGTGGCTGGCACAGCTAGTTAACATTACTAAAACACCAGCCAAGTCCTTTAAATGTGCAAAGTAACTCTCAAGGGCTCTGCTCCACTTCCCCTTCCCCCAGCCAGGTTACTGAGGCTTTGGGATTTTTTTTTCTTTTTCTATATTTGGGAGTGGAGGGTCTCTGGTTCAGGGAGACCATTAGTCCAAACACCCCAAGTTCTGGCCCTCGTTCCACACCTGTTACAGACCTTCTTAATGAGAGATGTGTTAAGGGCAGAGAGGTATTCCAAGAGGAAGCCTTCATGAAGGGTAAAAAGGAGGCACAGAGACACCTCAAATGTGAAGATGCTTAGCATGACAGGTTTCATCCAGATGGCGAAGAAGCAGCCTTCTTCGCAAGGCCTGGTTCCATAGTCAGTGGAAAGCTGTTGGCTGGGAATGGGAGGATGCTATATGCAGTTTTCTTATGTACAGTGTTCCCTGGAAAGCAAAGATTAGAAGGGAACCCATTGCAATTTCTTTTTATTTTCAGACTCTTGATTAGGCTCTTAGTGTGCTACCAGTCACAGACACTGCACCCTACAAGGGCTCTGACCACTTCAGCTGATCAGACTTTGCATTTGTAAATCACTTCAGTTAACGTAAACTTTTCATATACTGTTTCCTATATCCTTACCACAACCCAGACAGGCAGGTATTTTTATCTGCATTTGGCAGATGGTAATTTAAAAAAATTCAAACAATGAGTGTTTAGCCCAAACACTGTATCCTGCAGAAGAGGATGCTGAGACCCAGGAGGTTCACTGATTCACCACAGACAAAATGCAGATACTGTTAAAGCCTCAAAGCCAGGACTTGTGGAACTCCACCTCCTCCTAAGTCTGTATCATCTTGTTATGCTTCCCCCCAGCCCACCATGATGCTAAAATCAGAGACCAGCAGACAGAAAGTGGACATGAGGAATGGCTAACATTTTATTGGCTCTGCCTTTCCACTTTTGATTAGTTGGTTCTAACAGCTCCTGTGTTCCTTTACAGCGTGCAAAAGGAAAGAGCAAGAACACGGGAAGGATAGAGGCAACACACCCAAAAAGCCCAGATTGGTCTTCACAGATGTCCAGCGTCGAACTCTACATGCAATATTCAAGGAAAATAAGCGTCCATCCAAAGAATTGCAAATCACCATTTCCCAGCAGCTGGGGCTGGAGCTGAGCACCGTCAGCAACTTCTTCATGAATGCGAGGAGGAGGAGCCTGGACAAGTGGCAGGACGAGGGCAGCTCCAACTCTGGCAACTCATCCTCTTCATCAAGCACTTGTACCAAAGCATGAAGGAATAACCACGAACTAAAACCTCGGTGGAAAAGCTTTAAAGAAAAAAAATTTTTAAAAGACCAGGACCTCAAGATAGCAGGTTTATACTTAGAAATATTTGAAGAAGAAAAAAATTGTTATTTATAGTCCAAAGAAACCAAAGACTTAGCTCACCTGCATTCTAACTTTGTTCAGAGACACACACTTCAGCGGGGCAACGACTTGGCAAGAATTATGAGCAGGAAAACACCACTGGATCTTACACCTTCAGTCCATGGTCATTCTCACTGTGCTTGGCTGTTCTGTGGTTTGGAGCATAGTGGTATTGAGCCATCAAGTGGACATCTTTCAAGATCAGACTTTCTCATCTGTTCCACCATGCCACAAAGGTGTCTGGTGTCTCAGTACTGTGTGTATGGGTGCGTGCATGTGCCCACATACACACCACCAGTGGTTAGGGACTTAGGCAGGGCTGGTCTTTAGGAAGGGTTGTACTGTAGGAGTGCAACCAGCAGTGTGGGGTTGTCTGAGTTCATTGGGTTCAGAGTGTGATTTTGCTCATCTAGCCTATTGTTTGAACCTGCCAGGCCCGCAACCTAAACGCAGATTCAAACCCAGCAAAGAAAATTTGAATGACACCTAAACTAGTGCATTCTCTTTGTTTGTTAAGGAATGTTCAAATGTTTTTTAAGAAATGAAACAAGAGTCCATCCATTAAAAAAAAAATCACCTAGGTACCAAAGAACACACTGAATATTAAAGTGCAGGTATTTTATTGCAATGATTTTAATAACCAAAGCTATTTTTACACAAGATACTATGTAAAGTTATACGTATGAACTGATCTAGCTGTAATACACATGCCACATAGAATCATGACTATTATTTATGACTCTTGAAGCATTTGAAATACTCGTTTTCAGAACTGGCAAGAAAGAATGTAGCTTCAGGGAAGCAATTAATACCATAACAGAGAGGGCGATGCAGCATACATGTACACCCAGATGGCACACTCCCTTTCGGGATCCATAAGCATCACTTCAGTAGACATATAACATGATTCCAGAATCTGTTTATAGCTGAGAAAACCTGGGGGTTCCTCCAAAGTAGGATCCCATTTGTAAACTGGAGAACAAAATTTCACACAGTAGGTAACTGAATTAGAAAATTTGTTCAAAGTAATGCTTTTTTAATAAAAAGATCATGAAATAAAGGACTCCCTACTTAGATATTAATTTAACAAATCTGTGTGCAGAACAACATGCAGAACATTAGTGAGATTATTATTAAAATGAACTATCCAATATCTGTAATCATTCTAAAAATATAATCAAACCATTTTTATTGCTAATCCCAGACATTTTATAAAGACTTGGGCATCCATAAAAAAAAGCAGGTATAACCAAGAAATGGTGGAACGTAGACAAAGCCAGAGTCCCAGTGGGAGACAAGACTTTGGGTTCCAGAGGTCTTGGGCTGTTTATCTGATTAAGCATAGCCTCCAAAGCATACTACATTCTCTCTTGCTACTACATTAAGCTGGAAATTTTATAACATAGATTCTACTTTCTAACAGGGACAGATAAAAACTAGACCTCAACCTCCAAATATAAAAATTTAAATTTCTATTTTCCCAAATTACCTAACCAGGGCCATAGAAATCAAAGCAAGAAAGAAAACAAAAGAAAAACTACCAAAAGATAATGCCATGGTACTAGTAGTACCTGAATGAATCGCTTGATTTTCACCCCAAATTCTATCTGAATTCCATTGAATTGTCACTTATACAAGTGGAAGTCTTTTGTACTATTAGGTAAAAAACTGGGTATTCTTGGTTAGTTAGCATATCTAACTAGAAATATAAAATTAAATATTATCTCAACAATAAGGTGTTTACTGAAATTCATTAAAATGCTAAAGAAAAAAGATGAAACCATTTTGAAATAAAATCTAACTCCTTAGGTTCAAATCCCAGCACCTTGTCGAGGTCTAGAAGAGGCAGGCGCCTGGAGAGATGAGGCAAAACCAATGAGCCACCTGTGTGTCTGCTACAGCATGAGGAAAGGAAATCAACACATACTTCCCCTTTAATGAAATAGCGCATTTGCCTTGACACATTCTATTTTCTTTATCTTGCCCTAAATTCCAGCTTAAAATTTTCCCTTCTAAATATGGCACAATTACAATTGAGGTATTAAAAGAGACAATTTAAAAGGTCACCCTCCAGATTTGCTGAAAATTTAATCTTGTTAATAACATAAACTGAAAGGAAAAAACTGATTTACTTTTTTTCTCTCTCCAGGAATAGAGGGGCCAGGAGTAGAGCTATATAATATATTTCTACTTAGGAGGGAGGAAAGCCTTATTTATTTAAAACATGAGAATTTTAAATGCAGGGAAATTCAAGCTGTGTCTACACCTAATCTTACCAAATTCAATACCCCAGGAAAAACAAAAGTTGAATTCAGACAACCATGGTTTTTTCTTTGCTTTGTTTGTACACATAACCCTCTCAAATTAATGTGATTGCATTTTAAATTTTCAACCAGTTACTTTGGTACTATGTAGACACAGTCTCAAAGAATATCATTACATTTTAAATATTCTCACCATAATAGTTTTTTGAAAAATAACCAGTGATTCTATTTGCTAACACCAAAGATAATTTTCATACCAGCATTGAATGTGCACCCATTATGCAATTTCAGGGCCAAGAGATATATTTTCTCATAAACAGATGCACAAATCCGAGCCTGAAAAGCAATTTTTTTACTTGACTATTTAAGCATCCTCACAACCACTGCTTCTTAGAAATCATAATGGACAAACTCAGCTTCTCACAAGCAATACACTTATTCCATCACATATGACTGATTCTGTTTTGCTTCTGACTTGTCACCTAGAAAATGCTTCCATTCCTGCTTCACATCGCATTGATTTATGGCTCAGGTTCTAAACTCTCCACAACCAAGCAGATCACACGCCATTTATTCAACCATCATTTCTCAGTCCTTGAACAGAATTCACCTAAAAAGACATCTCATTCTTCTATTTGTATGTTTGTTTATTCCAAAACTGCACTTCAAATAATACATTTTGGGTTTTGTTTTGTTGGGGTTTTTTTAGAATGGAAGTTAGACTGTTTGGAGCCATAGGTCATTTATGTCCTCTCACAAGTAGAAGCTTCCCTGAAAGGGAGCCAAGAGAAAGAGTAGGAAGTCTGGACACCCCCAAAACTCAGTAAATGTTCAAGTAAAACAATGCTGAAAATCAGGAGCTGAGTGTTCCAGTCCTGGATGTAGTGGGAATAGACCCCAAAACCAAAGAAAATGTGTGGGGAAATTCAGAAGTTCTAACTGAACATGTCACTCACTCTCCCCCCTGCCCCCAAAAAGCATAATTAATTTTCCAGGAAAAAAAGTAAAAGCACTATGCTACATTTGGACTCATGCCCGTCCCATTGCTACCCCAGGTGAATGACCCATCTTTGCAGATTAAATGCAAACTTTGCTATACCAAAGAGTCCTAGGACATTTTCTCATGAGCTATAAAGGCATTTTCCCTAAAAAAGGTTCTCCCTTCTTTGTACATAAAGCATGAAAACTATGCATTTAGCAAACAAAGAGAAAGCACTTCTCCCTTTCCGATCTAGTTGTTTAGGGTGCATTCAAATACCAGAGGCCATTTTGAGATGCTGTTGGCCTTCTGGATTTTTCTTGTGGTGTGGTTAGCTTTACAGTGCATTTGGTAACTATTTCCTAAATAAGAAGGACAAAGAAGCAGAAGGTAAGAAATAGCTACTTCCACGTGTAAAAAAAAAAGTGTAAAGATCTACTATTTATAGTGTGAACCAAAGACGCTACCTCACTCGATTTCCATTGGTGATTTTAATCACATTGATATGATACCAAAGAATACCAAAGATATTTTCATGCACGGCCTCCGTCTGCAGAGGGAACTCCGCCCCGGTCCCTTCTCCCACCTCCTTGCCCCTCCTCACTCTTCACTCAGTGTGTAAACTTGTCTTCATTCTTAATAATAATGATACGACAACAACAACAACATTAGGAAATACTACTCTTACTACTGCTAGTTCTACTTGTAAATCTCTAGGCAAACATGTTGCAAACTTTGTAAACTCCTAGGACGAGTGCCTTGCTTGAACCAAAGTGTTAAACCGCTGTTGACCTCTCTCACCTTATACTCTTTGAATACCTCAGCCTCTTAGAAAGGCCACTAATGAAAAAAAAAAAGAAGGAATAATTATTCACCGTGGTGCTTTTTCCGTGCAACCATGCAATGAAACTTTCTTTGATACCAAAGGATGACTTTTTTCCCCCAATTTCTTGCTGATAAACCAAAGCTCCTCCTCCTAGTTCCCCTCTGAGGTCCCCCACTTCACGGAGTCCCTTCCCCAGGCAGGCCGTGCACCACTTTTACCAATTCCTCCAAATACCTCATAGTGATGACGTTTTAGGGTTATGTTGTATAGAGAGTTTATGTGATGAGGCAGAACTTACTAGTTTGATAATTGTTAAGGTTACTTTTAAAAGAAACTTTATAATTCTTATTTATTTTGTAGCTTGTACGTTTGGGATGTCCGCTCCCTCCCCGCTTCGGTTTGGGGTTTATTTTCTTGGCAGAACTGCTCTGTTGCTCAAGGAAGACTTAATTTCTGGAAACGTTCCCCACGTGGGTTAAGGGTTGTGTAAAAATGCAAGAATGGAATAAGAAATGCTTTTCACTTTGATGGTTACTTATGAAGTTTTTGTGTTTCGTAGTAAATTTGTTTCCACAGGGTAAAAAAAAAAGTATATATATATATATATATAATCTCTTTTTTGTGAAACTGGTTCCTATTTTCTCTATAATGTGCTGTGATTTTTTAATTTAATTACATTTTATATGAGCTTATTTAATCACTGCTTTAATTTATGACTGTGTAGTTTTTAAAATGTATATAGTAGAATCCAAATGGCCAAAGCTTTATGTTACACAATCTTTTTGTTCTTGACGCTAAGATAAGCTGAAGGCAAGAGCTTCTCTTAACTGCAGGGTGTATCTTTAGCTTTTTCTTAGCGGGCACTTCCACACGTGTTGTGAACACTGCCAGTCCCCCCTCAGAAACCTGTACATGCCAAAGTGAGTGTTCGAAGGTAGTCCTTTTTGTCACTTAGAAAGAAGAAAGGCATTATTCGTGTTCTTCCTTTAACTTATTAATTTTTTTAAAGAAAAGATTACTTTGCAGGTTAGACCTGAAATTCCAAAGAATTTAAGACTAGTTTAATGTTCCAAAGCACCGGCATCTGTGAGATACTTTGCTACTTTTTTTTTTAAGCCATTCGCACGGGTATGAGAAGTAAAGAGTGTAAAAACTCAAAAAGACAAGCTAACTTGAATTTGGAAATCCTGTTAAGTTTCACCAAGTTTCTGAATTTCTTCAAGGCAGGGGGCAGGTCCTGAGGACACAGTTCCTTCAGCAGAGCCCAGAGGAATATAGAATGGCTTCATGCCCTTACAGAGGAAGTCGAGGCTGAGGGGCAGCTGACCTGGCCCCTGCCCCACGGGCTAACCCATGGAAAACGCAAAACATGATTGCTCAGCCCCAGTGATCAGTCAGGTTTAAGGACAACGTTTCACAGTGACATGTTCCACCCCCACGTCTGTTTCTTGGAATCTGCTGCTCACAATTCCCACCCCCACCTCATACGCCTGCCCATCAAAACTGAAAGAATTCTCCTCAAATGTCAGAGTCCCCTGGTGAATGTATCCCAGGCCTATTTGAGTTTGTCTCTTCTCACACATCTTACTACTAGTTTTCTTTCCACGCAGCACAGGCGGTCCCTGCCTCAGGCCCCCTTTGCCATCGCGGCTGTTCAGGTACTGGGCCCCACTTTACTGTAGATCTGCACACAGAATCCTCTGCCGATTCGTGGCACCCTCAGAAGACCCCGTGCCCACTATTTTGTTTTATTTTGCTGAAATAAGTTGCTTCAACTACATGGCATAAATCCATAAATGTAAATACTTTTCCTCTCAATACAAAAAATTTATATGATTTTCTTTGGCAGGGGTGTTTGGGGTGGGGAAGGAAAGGGAGGGCTTAGACTTTGGATCAAAGGTTACGTTTTCTTAGAAGCATTTTTATACTCATTTTGTGTTTTAGTCAGGCAATAAATCTGCTCTGAGTTGCTGGATCATTCTGTGCTCTGTCGGTAAGCATGGACGGATTTGTTTTTAATTCGAACGCCGTGCGGTGAGTTACAGAAAGCCCAGGAGAATGGTGGAGGGAGAAGACTAACCGTCAGCGGGGAACCGCTGAACCGAGTGGTATTCATGAGGTCGCAGTTCCTGTTTCTATGTTAGTCTGGATTTTTCATGGTATGTTCTGCATTTATTGCATAATCTTTATGGGCTCATTTTAGATATGCCGTCTGAACCAAGTGACAAGTATTTTTTAACAAAATAAACTTTAAAACATTGTCTTCCACTTGCTTCGGTAGTCGTCTTCATACTCCCTGTGTTTCTTGTCCCTTCTGAAGTCAGCCCACCTGTCTCTCACTTAGACTGTCCCTTCTTTGCTGTTGTTTGAGTGTGACACAGTTTCCCTGTTCAAGTTAGCTTGATGGTTTATTGTGTAAGGAGGGTGCCTAAGACAATCATCAGGTAAAAATAAATAAAAATAAAATGAAAAAAAAAAGATCAGTAGAGTAGAAAATCTTCCAAGAGCAGAGGGAGTTCTTCCTTAGCAATAGGGGGAAAAAAGAAAAGGTAAATACATAATAAAATAATGAATTAATTTAAAACCTAACCATGAGGGGCTTAGAAGATTTTTGATAAAAGAAAAATGTTGCTGTCATTTCCTTTGTCAATTAGAAAGCAGTGGTAGCTTCTACGTTGCATCTACATTTCAGACAAAATGATTATTGTACCCAGTTATGGTGGTTTGCTAATATTTTGTCTCTCTCTCTTTCTCTGTCCAATGCTTCTTCTGTATTTTTGTGTGTAGCAACAAAAAGTGTAATGCATTAGGCATTATTCTGGTTTGTTTATGAGTATTTCCTGTACTGCATTAAGGTTTCTTTCTCTTTTTTTTAAGCTTCGCTACTGTTCTCACTTTATGCCGTGCAATATCATCTGCTGTGTTTGCTAAGCAAAAAAGAAAAAAAGAAAAAAAAGCAAGTGATGATGCCATCATGCTTTTCAGTGTTAAAATGTTTCAGCATTTATGTAGTCACCAAAATGTAGTAAATAAAATGTTGGATTTTCCAGCACTTTAAATTTAGACAATTCTTGCTTCTTTTGTTTTCATTCTCTTTGTAAACCTCAGCGAGTAGCTCATGGATTTTCTCTGGAGGAAGGGCGAAGCTGAGAGGACAACATGCCAAAGCCAGGGCCATGGTTTTTTGCTTTGTTTTTTGATTTTTTTCAAATCAAAGGGAAAGTTTATTTAGAAAGTTTCAGAGTTAGTAGAAGTGAGCCAGCTGGGCTGCAGAGGCTCAGGAAACAAGTTGCAGAAGCAAAAGGAGGACCCTTGGAGCCTAGGAGAGGGGAAGGCAAAGGTAACTTGCCTGGGGAGAGAGGGGGGACAGGAAAGGGGAGAGTGCTCCCAGGAGGGAGAGCTCACCAAGCCAGGGCCATGTTTTAAAGAAAGATGAGCTAAGGGTGTTCTCTAGTGGAACAGGAGGATGTTTCTAAATACAAGTGGGGCATTCTGTTTGTAGATGTTAACCATTTATGTTAACCTGGTTAACTCTCAGAAGACATACAATTATTACGAGAAGTTGTCCTTAAAAAGTTCTCTCCAGTTAAATAATGTATATGGAGAGGGAGTGTCTATCTACCTGTCAGTTTGTCTGTCTCAGAAGCTGGGGGGAGCATCTGGGAAGTTAGATCCTCTTCTATTTAATAGAGGGCAGTGGTTGATCAAGAGGCCTGGTTTAGGGAAGAGGGAAATGGGGTTTAGAACTCCTGTTGTGCTGAGTGCTAGCTGTGTGACCTTGGGCCGGCCATGGGATGGTGGCAGGTATGCTTGAGCTCTGCCCTACAGATGATTAATACTGCCTTGATTCCACCCTGGCTGGCGTAGCTCAGTGGATTGAGCGTGCGGGCTGCGAACCAAAGCATCGCAGGTTTGATTCCCAGCCAGGGCATGTGCCTGGGTTGCAGGCCATGGCCCCCAGCAACCGCACATTGATGTTTCTCTCTCTCTCTCTCTTTCTCCCTCCTTTCCCTCTCTAAAAAGAAATAAATAAATCTTTAAAAAAAATACTGACTTGATTCCGATAGGATAGAAAAACCTTGCTCCACAGTAGTTCTGTTCTCTCCTCCTGTGATGGTCAGCTTTACATGTCAGCTTGGCCAGTCCTGAGGCCCCAATCGTTCCATCAAACACTCATCTAGGTGCTATGGGGACGGCATTTTGTGGGTGTTGTTTTTGTGCATAATTAGTTGACTGCAAGTAAAAGAGACTATCCCACACAGGTGCATAAAGGTGTTCCGATTCCGACACATACATCAGAGCTTGTCGAAGTCCTTAATGGGTATCTCATTCCCTGGCCTTTCCTTTGAAGATTTTTGGTAAGTTTCTTGTTTGCCCCCATGGTTGCCACTGTCTCAAGCAGCAATAGGCTAAGCAATTGTCCCCGATTGCTTTTGTCAAATGCCCCAGTGGCAAGGTTTTCAGAATTGAGCAAGCTCTGACTCAGGTCGAATTTAAGGAGTAAATAAATAAAAAATAAGCCTTGTGAATGGAGGTTTCCAGGGAACTTCCAGATGGATGAATAGTGATGATCCTCTGAGAGTGGTGTGTTGGGAGGGCTCCAACCCCATCTGCCCTGTCCGGTGGCAGCTAAGCTGTTGGTTTTCACTCTGATTTCAGGGCTGTTATATCACAGACTAAAATAACACAAAGCTATAGCTGTATTTACTGAGATTCAGCTATTTTTCTTAAATAAATATTCCTCGAAATGTCGCAAGCCTTTGGTTCATTTCAGAGTTCTTTAAAAGATGATTTTGATAATTTGCCGGTGTTGTTGTTGGTTTTGTGGAAAAACTGGCTTTTTGAAGATCCCTACTCCGCCAGCCCCCTGCCCTAAGGGTGAAAGTACAGGGCTGATGTCCAGGCCCTCCTCAGGAATGCAGCTGGTAACCCCAAGGCAGTAGTAACGATCTTTAGAACACCTGGATTTTTTCAACCTTTGTAACTTCTCCATGGTTCTTCTTTTTGTCATGCCAAGCTTGTTTCTCCACAGGGTAAACTCCAAAGGTCCTGAGGGCCTAGGTGGAGCACAGGGAATTGTGATCAGAGAAGAGGATTTCTTCACTGCCCTTCCCTGAGTTCACACGTTGAGAAGTCTGTTATCTGAAATTCCTGAGAAAGCTACTCTGCCCTTAGGTCAGGCCTTGTGAAATGCACACTTGCAAACAAAACCTAAGCAACAGGAAAGCGGGGTGATGGTCAGATATTTTGTGAGGAATAATCTCACAGGGCATATGCTGTTAAAAAGAAACGACAGACAGAAAATGGAATCACTTTTGCTAAATCCTACAAAGATTTAATCCCTAACCTAACTGAAATTTCAGCCCCTCCCAGGAGTGGAATTTTAAACCAGTCAGTCTAGAAATTCCTGGTCTGCACTAGCAAGGTAATGTGCCTGGTAAGATCCCCTCTGCCAACCCCTTGGGGAAGGTGTCCTTGCCTGAAATAATACACTCATCCTAAGAATGCAAGGTTGGTTAAACATCTGAATATCAGTTAATGTAATATACCACATTAATACAATAAGGAACAGAATCCACATTATCATCTTGAGAGATGGAGAAAAAGCATTTGACAAAATTCAGTGTTTATTCATGATAAAAACTCTCAACAGACTAGAAATAGAAGGGAACTTCCTCAACCTGATAAAAACACATTTATGAAAACTTTGTAATGGGGTATAGGCTGGAAGGACCTAGGGCCCCCCAAAGGGGGGATTTGTAATGAGGTCCAGAACTTGGGGTGTCCGGGAATATAAGATATCCCCCGTAGGCCTGGCTAGGGGAAGGGAGGCATGGAGCAGGGCCATGGAGAGTTATCTTGTATATCAGTAACAGCAGGCCAGCTTCCAGCCTGGATGGAGCCAGAAAGAATGCATAACTTTGACCCATGTTGTAGCTGGGAGGCAGCTCCCCCAGTTACAGCACCTGTGTGAGAGGTTGGAGATGGTTTGCACCACGTCCCAGGGCCACACCTGCCCAGACTAACAATGGCAGTCAAGGAAGGCAGAAAATGCGGTAGTGCTGGCAGGTGTAGCCAACTGTGGGAGGAGTCAGAAATGGGGTTATGGAGCAGATTCCAGGCTGGGATGCAAACTAAAGGCAGGCTGCAGTGTGGGGCAGGCAGGACTATGGATGAGGACAATTCAAGCGGAGCCACGGACTTCTGTATCTTTTTCCTGAGATACAGTACCCCGACTGACCTGGTTGGGCAAAGCGGGGGAAAGCAGGAATGGGTGTGTGTGTTTGTGAGTTTTTAAAAGGGACTTTGGGATTTTAACAGCGACATTCTGCCATTACTCTAAATCTGTTTAACTTTTGAATAAATAGTTCCTTTCCTTTTCACCAAACTGTGGCACTGACAGCCACAATTCCTAACACCTGGCGGCGGGCAAGATGAGCCTAGTGCAGAGAGACCCCGGGGGAGGGGCTTGTTTCAGTAACAGGACCTGGGCTCTCCCCTGCCATGGGTTCCTTTAGGTAACAAATTCGCAGCTAACATCATACCTAATGGCCAAAGACTGAATGTTTTCCTCCTAAGACTGGACACAAGTCCAGTATCACTACTTCTATCCAAAACTGCCCTGCAAGTTCTAGCTGGGGCCATTAGGCAAGAAAAAGAAATAAAGACTCATCCAGACTAGATGGGAAGAAGTAGAACTATATCTTGTGTATAGGAAATTCTAAGGGATCTACAAAACACTAATGCATTCAGCAAGGTTGGAGGCCACAAGATCATTATACAAAATCAATTATATTCCACACACTGGCAATGGATGATCTGAAAATAAAATTAAGGAAAAAATCCATTCACATTAGCATCAAAAAGAATAAAATAGGAATAAATTTAACAAGAGAAATGCAAGACTTATAAACTGAAAACTGTTACCCATCATTGTAAGAAATTTAAAACAATCTAAGGAAATCAAGATATGCAAACCGCAGATAAGCATGTGAAAAGATGCTCAGCATCTTTCGTCATTAGGAAAATGCCAATCTAAACCACAAGGAAAGATTACTTCACACCCACTAGGATAGCTATAATAATTTTGTTAAAGGGCAATAACAAGTGTTGACAAGGATGTAGAGAAATTGGAATCCACAAACATTGCTGGTAGAGGTATAAAAAGGTCCAGCTGCTCTAGAAAACTACCTGGCAGTTCCTCAAAAAGTTGGTCATGGAATTACAATTTGATCCAGCAATTCAATGTGTAGGTGTATAATCAAAATAACTAAAAACATATGCTCACACAAAAACCTGTACACAAATGTTCATAGCATCATTAGTCATAATGCCAAAAAATGGGAATGAGTCAAGTGTTCATTAACTAGTTAATGGATAAACAAAATGTGGTATGTCCACATACTGGACTATTACCCAGCTGTAAAGAGAACTGACGTGTCACAACATGAATGAACCTTAAAGGATTATGCTGAGTGAAAGAAGCCAGACACAGAAGGCCACACATTGTACGATCTCATTTATATGAAATGTCTAGAACAGGCAAGTCCATAGGGAAAGAAAGTTAATTCATTGTTGCCAGGGGCTGAGGGAAAGATGTGGGGAATAACTGTTAAGGGTATGATTTTTGGCATGATTGAAATGTTCTACAATTATACAGATAGTGATGATGGTTACACAATGTTGTGACGATAATAAACACCCCTGAGTCACATACACAATTTAAAGGGTGAATTTTGTGCTAAGTGCATTATATCTCACTACTGCTGTTACTGTAAAAATGTTGGGGCGTGTCTAAGGGCACAGGTGCAGACTTGAAAAATCTCCCAAAGGCCTAAGCTTGGACAATTTGAAAAGCACAGTAATGAAAGTATTTAGAATAAAATAAATATCCATGAGTTCATGCTGGTAAAAATACATAATGGAATAAATACATAAGCGTGGGGAATGGACACCCCTTCCTTAGAGTACACTTCCAATTTTAAAATGTAGAAGTGGAAATAAGTAATCACAATAATTGCTTCAGGCAACAATCATTAATAGATGCTAAAATCAGTAGCCAA